CTCACTGCTTTTATTACTCCAATCTAGCAAAAGTTGAAAGAGATAAAGAAATTCATCTATTATTCCAATCCAGATTAGTATAGTCGTACTAGCTTTCCACATATTTGACACTAAGAGGATGCTACCTCTCTCTGTTCAACATGAGACAAAGTTTCGAATTTGGGAACATCTGCTGTACTTGGGACTTCACTGAACAATAATTTTGAGCAGTTTCAGTTCAAGAAAATGCCATTTAAGATCGTTTTGTTGGACAGTTTCAACAGTTGAATAGCAGGCTAACAGGATTGAGGCGACCAACTAGCATTGAATAGCAGTGTTTTTGTCATCTGATACCAGTCTTTATCTATTTCATTCACTTACTCATTCCGGCAAGGGCATGCAGTTTTTCCATTGGTAGGTCATGCATGTGATTTGCATAACAAGTGAAAGATTAGATGCTACAAAGTGACATAAAAGTTGTATCAGATTATACCTGATCAGTTTCATCCAAAAAAGTAGTCAGTTCATCAAGTAACAAAACTTTGCAAGCTTCCGCCAAAGCACCAGCAGTAGCAACCCTTTGTTTTTGACCACCACTAAGAGTGTGAACTGGTTTCTGCATTGCGTAAACAAAAGCACAGGCGTGAGAGCAGCTCCGTATTATATTGACCTGTTAGGAACCCCGGAAATCATATCTGAAGAACATACTTTCAAATACTCAGACATCCCAACTGCATCCAAAGCTCTTGCCACCCTAGTCCTAATCGCACTTGGTTTTAAGTTCAATTTACCAAGACCAAAAGCAACATCAGCTTCCACTGTAGGCATCACGACCTGTAAGCACAAGAAATAAAGAACCCATACATTTAAGAGTGAAGAGCAGAATAACTTTCTTAATACGTGGCCGTGGAAAGTCCACTTCATATCAAAGCCAGCTTGTAGGTTTAGGTATAAAACAAACTAATAAAACCATCCAGTCATCCAGCCAAACTAAGAAAACACGTAAAAGGCAAACTTAGCTCCCTGCTTTTGCCATACCAAGCACATCATCTGTTTCACAGAGACCTCGTGAATTCATCATAGCAAAAGCAAATGAGGCTATGTTATAGAGGCCTTGTACATTACCGCACAAAAGGAAAATGGATCAATAAGAGAAATTCTATAGGTACGCACTCTGTGGAATCATAAATCCAAGTCAAGAATAAAATGCAGAGCTTGGAATAATGACAGACACGTGCGCTATTGAATGACTCATGAGTGCAATGCCAACATGATGTGGCCTTTGCTACCACATATCCTAGAGGTTTTCCAAAGCTGTATAAACTGCACCATCTACCCAAAGTAATGGTCATACACAGTTACAGATTTAACCAGAATTCGTGTAGAAACTAAAGAATTTTTTCAGATTCTGCCAACTATAGATCTACAATAGAAGTTCTATGAAGACATATTAGTCCTTAAGACGCAAAGAGCTGGAAAAAAAAACTCGGAAATAATAGTTTTTGCCAAATCTAAACTCGATTGAGAAATAGTTCAAGCGAAGAAAGAAACTCAAAAGCTTAATTACATTAATTGGATTGTTATGAAGTGGAGTTGATCTCTCTAATTTGGAATTAAGCTTATACAAGATTAAGCGTTTAATCTTCTGTTGTCCCATTATGATTTACATTCTTATTTTTTTCTATAACAGCAGCACCAGAGCCACCTTATGCACACCTCGACAGTTTCACCAGGTACATGTTACCTTGCACCAGCATAGTAACTCTAGCCTATAAGGCTTACGCAGATGGAAAAAAATCACCAAACTCTTTTTGTCTCGGGGAGGATTTGAACCCTTCTCTCTCATGGTTTTCACCCAATTATCGACGTTAGGAAACACCCTCGGTGCCCCTTATGATATACATTCTTTTGCAGTTGTTCCATGAAATTCCAAGCCTCAATTATTAAAAGAAACCTATTTTATTGTTTAAAATGTCGGATTGAGACGAGTATAAATGGACCGCCATGGATAGTGAGGATTCATATAGGTGAACCCAACTAGATTGGAATTGAGGTGTAGTAGTAGTTATTATTGCTGCGATAAGTATCTCAAGTCTCAAGTTTTAGACCATAAATCTCACAATACATCCGCTATCAACAATTTAAAAGTCATCAACACAATAGGGGATTGCAAACATTCTTGCTTAACCGTCCATTTTAATCCACAAAAGACGGCCACAAATCTGAACATGACAGAGGATTAGGCAGCATTGCCATCTAATGATAAATAAAAATGATAAAAATGGAAACTTTTGAGCTCAGTAGACACACCTGATGATCAGGGTTCTGATACACAAAGCTCCTTGGCCTCTCCACATACAAGAATCCATCATTTGGACTCAATAAACCTGCTAATATCTGGGATAATTTCACCCCAAAAAGAACAAAACCCAAATCCCTTAATGCTAACCAGCTTTGCTAGAAAATACAAAATTTTGCACAGTTTACATAAACAATTTAGAGAGTTTGCCTTTAAAAGGGTTGATTTTCCACAGCCATTGGGTCCAAGAAGCATCCAGAATTGTCCAGAGGGAATTTTCAGTGAGCAATCCTTGAGAATTGGAAGTACTTTCCCTTGTCTGGAGACAACTGAATAGCTAAGGTTTTGAGCGTCAATTGCAAAGCTGTCAGCTGTTGCGACATTTCTACAAACACAAAGTAAGCAAATTATGGTATGATAGAAATCGAGTATGCCGAAAAATAGGAAAATGTGGAGAAACAGAGTTTGCCTGGGGGAGTGGGAGTAAATGGGTGGCAATTGCAGAGCTGAAGCTCGGACACAAACGGACTGTATCATTTTTACCCCAAAAAAAAAAAAGCTCGGATGCAACCTTTACTTGGGTTTGTCTTTGGATTATGAATAACTCTTTTTATTTATGTCTTTGTTTCACTTGGCACAAAATTTAAAATGAAAATAAAACTTTTGAATTTTATCCTCTTAAATTAAACATGTGATTAACTCGTGGTAGAGTTAAAATTTTAAATTAAATAATTTAAAATATAAAGAAATAGATATATAAAAGTTTGTGTTGTGAATTTATTATCTACTATATATAGAAATAAATTTGATCATTATATGCAAAGGAAGTTCATCCTTTTGCTCCCCTAGCACCGCCCATATGTATAACATACTAAATATAACCTTTGAATTTTTGTAGTTTCAAACACGTCATTATTTATATAAATAAGTATCATTACTTATAAAATAAAAATATTTTTTTTAAAAAAAGTAAGAAACATAAATTGAAAATGATTGGAAAATAAATAAGATTGACTGATTGAGTAAGTTTTCAAGAGACGTTCAAAACAAATACTCCATTTATCTTAATTTATAGGCAAAATACATAAATATCTCATTAAACTTGTCCAAAAATATGTTTGAACACTCTAATTAAATGGGTATTCTTTTACCCCCTAAACACATTGCAAGTGAATTTTGTTCCACCCTCCGTGACCTCATACCAATTAAAGACTAACGAGTGCGAGCCACGCTCTTTCTTGTGATGCCACGTCATTAATGAACTCAAACCCTTTTAATGATCTGGTCCATTACTTAAAAGCCCACCCGATTAAAATACCCGACCCGCTATCTTTTATTTTATATCCTAGACTAAATTATCCTACCTCATTTCTCTTTAAACAAAACGAGAAAAGGGCTGATGAAGTCAAAACTTAGTGTCGATTTTCCCCCAAATCTCGTCGATTAGAGTGTAGATATCGAAGTTCGTTGGCTTCTCTTGTAGGTTATTCTTGTTTTCTTTAATCCTTTGTCGATTTTGAAGTGTAAAAAAATATTTACGGGCATTTTTCTTGTTTACTGATTTCAGTTCGAAGAAATGGCTTTTGAGCTCGTTACAGTGAGGATGTTCCATGGAGGTCAGTTACAACAATATCCTATCAACTACGAAGGAGGTATTATGACAGAGTACTTTGATATTGATATTGACAGATTTTTGTATTTTGAGTTTGTAGACTATGTGAAAGAAAATGGGTATAATTGTGAAACATGTGACATTTATGTGAGACCGCCTAATTCTAGCACTTTGGTAAAAAAAATTAGCAGATAGGGATATTATGGGTATTGTGCTTCTATTAAAAAATGGGAATAAATTTGAAATGTGTGTGTCCCACTTTGTTTATGAAGCATTAGTAGTCCCTCCAGCTATTGAATATGTAAGCCATGTGTGTGGGGAATCTAGTGTGTCTTTTGATAAAGAGATAAAATCAAAGTGTTGAGGGCAGTGAAGGTGTAGGGTTTGAAGAACCACAAAATAATATCTCTGTTGCTGATAATGTGCCTGGTGGGGATGAGAGTGGTCCTTCTAATCTTGATTATACTCCATTAGTTGAAACTGATGTAGAAAGCAGTGACCATAGTACAAATTTAGAAATTGAAGAGCTGTTTGAGGAAGGGGAGAAGAATATGGTAGTGATGTTGATGAGGAGTATAGGAATTTAAGAGAAGAGAGGGAAAAGGTGCATAGAAGGAAGAGAAAAGAGAAAGAGGTTCAAACTAGACATGCCAAGTTAGGTAAAAAAGGTCCAGATGTAGGATATGATGAGTATGCAGCTAGGAAGAAGACATCTTTAGAAGGTAAGATTGCTGGAGATGAGCCATATTATCCCTCAGTTGAAGCTGCTAGTTTTGAAACAGATCCTGATGAAACTGCTTATGATGAAGGTGAAGATGAAGTCCAACAACCAGTAAGAGCAAGAAGAAATCAACAAAATGGGGTTATCTTTGGTCCTAGTTGTAAGTTAATTGTTTGGGAAACTAGACTTTCTTTTGAGAGTTAAAGAAAAACCTTGATCACATAGAGAAAATAGGAGATAAAATAGTTAAGGACCTGTTATACTATAACAAAGAGAGGTGGTGCAAGGTATATTTCAAGTATTTCAGCAATTGTGACAGTGTTGACAACAATATGGCTTAAACTTTCAATTCTTGGATATTGGGGCCAAGCCACAAGACAATCATCATAATGCTTGAAGAGATCAGGGTGAAGATGATGATAAGAATAGCACAAATGAGGGATTTCTGTAATACTTGGATCAGTGACATTTCTCCAATGGCACTGAAGGTGTTGCAGGAGAACACATCAAAATCAATAAAATGTGTGGTGCACTGGAATAGTCAATATAATTATGAAGTGAAGGAAGGACACACCAGTAAGCATATAGTAAATCTGAACAAGCTAACCTGCACTTGTAGAGCTTGGATGCTGAAGGGTATACCATGTGCTCATGTTGTAGCTGCTATCCATTTCAAGAAATTGGAGCCAGTTAACTACATTGCATATTGGTACCATAGGGAGACTTATATGAAGACCTACATTCACTTTCTTCAGCATGTACAAAATATGGAGATGTGGCCACAATCACAACACCCTTCAGTTATACCACCAGAAGTAAGAGTAATGCTTGGCAGGCCCAAGAAAGTGAGAAGGAAGGAACCAACTGAAAACAAAATCGGAAAGCTTTCCAAAAGAGGTACTCAAATAACCTACAACAACTGTCATGCTAAAGGCCATAACAAGAAAGGTTGTCAGAAGGCTACACAAGGTACTGCAAGATCAGCTGGTGGTGCAAAGTCATCAAGTGTTGGTTCTTCATCAATACCTTCAGTTTAAAGTGTACCAAAAACAAGAACAGGAACAGGAAGAGGAAGACCAAGAGGTTCAACAAAACAGGCAATTACTCTGAAGTTACTTCTATAGACTGCACTTTTGTAGGTTTGTTTTATGTTTAACCTCTTAATAATTTGAACTTTTTATAGGATATTGCTACTGGTATAGGAAGAGGGACACCCTATAAAAGGCCAAGAATGGTTGGTATGAGAATTCTACAAACAGAAAGTGGACCTTCCATCTATAATGTAAGCATATGATGTCAACTATAACTATAAACTCATTTTGATAAAACTTGGATGTAAACTAACTAAGTTTTTTTCTGTGAATATAGCCTGGATGTCAACTGTGCCTATAAACTCTGCAGTAGTGACTGGAGATATTGGACACAAATCAAGAACAGGGGTGAAATGGAAAGGGAAAGAAGCTATCACCTTAAGGAATCTTCAACATATTCAAGCTAAGAAAAGAATGTAGACAAGTTCAAAGGCATCTGAAAGAGTTCGTTTGAGCCAAACAAGTTCATCAGCACCACAATCAACTGCCCAGTAGATATTAGAACTTCATTATTTTTGTTTGCCTTTTGGCAGTTGGTATATGTAAAGACAATATGAATTTCTATTTTGCAATGACTGAAAGTTTCTAAGTCTATGGTATTATGTGCAGTAATGACTGCTGAATTGTAGGTCTATTTATTGAAAATGATATGCAACAATGAATGCAATTTTGTTAAGTCAGTTTCTGTATTTTTCTGTTTAAGTCTGTTTTCTGCAATATGCAGCAGTTACTGTAGATTTGTAGGTCTGTTTACTAAAAATGATATGCAATAATGACTGCAATTTTGTTAAGTCAGTTTTTCTGTTTTTCTGTTTAAGTCTGCTGGAAAGTTGTTAATCTGTCTTTCTGCATAAATATGTTGTTAATATGCAACAGTGACTGCAAAGTTATTAATCTATTTTTCTACATAATTATATTGTTAATATGCAGCAGTGACTGTAGATTTCTAAGTCAATATAAAGCGTGGATTTGTAACAGACATATTGCCAATTTTCACAGCACAAACTATATCAACAAGGTGCATTATATTACAACAAAAGTTACACCAATTTTTTATAAAATATGCTACAATTTTGTTAAGCAACTCTAAAGATACTACTGCCACAACAGATCCCAAGGTAAATTTATTGAATGATTCTTCACATATACTAGATGAAACCAATAGCTTATAGCTATTACACATCCACACAATACAAAAAATCAAAGTATTTTCTTCTTAATCTTGGACTTAACCAAAGTGATCCTCCACTTCTTCTCCCTTCCTTTCATCTTCTCAATCTCTCCCTTCAACTTCTCCAATTGCATCTCTATCTTTCTTTCTACTTATTTTTTTTCTAGGCTTATCAACACTTTCATACACTTCTAATGTACTTTCAAGTTCACCAATTTTCTCCACCAGTTTATGAATAATAAATTTTGATCTTGGATCAATTTCTACATCTCTTCAATGCCAAAAATTACAAGATCTTGGACCCTACAATGATGAAACATAAAGAATTAATTAAAGGTTAATCAGTGAAAGCTTCAACTAATTTACAAAAATAAAACTTATCTTATAGTATGGTCACACTCAATATCTTCTACCGGGTACTGAGGGGTCCTAGCAGTCATTATCGGCAGCACATAACCATGGTTGTAGCACACTTCTTCATTCAACCCAGGATCATCATCTTCCATATAAAGCCTAGCCAAGTTAGTTGACTGCATTGTCAACTAAGCCCTAAATTAAGATGAACCCCTCAAATAAAAAGAAATTCAAAACACTCAATAAGCCTTAAAATTATATTAACCAAAAGATTATAGAGAATAATAAGGTTTTGATTCAGATAAAAGGATTCGAAATTATAGGTCTTGGCCAGAATTTATGAGTAATTGAAGGAGAGAAGATTTAGGATTTTTGAAGAAGAGAAGAAGAATTGGATCGGATAATTAGAGATTTTACCACTGGGTGTCCTTATAAAGTAAGTCTCTTTTACCGCTGGGTCTTTTTATTTTAAAATAATTTTTTTAATTTATTTTATCCGTTAATTTTACTATAAAATACGCTCACAAATTAAATGTTTCCACGCGCTGGGTCTGGGGTCATGGAGGATGGAACAAAATTCACTTACAATGTGCTTAGGAGGGTAAAAGAACACTCATTTAGTTAAAGTGTTCAAATATATTTTTTGGACAAGTTTAATGGGGTCTTTATGTATTTTGCCTAATTTATATGTCTTGCTTTTCGCCAGGAAGTATGATATTTCCTTAATCACAAGATTCAAATAGGTTGAATACATAGACAGACCCCTAAACTTGTCCTTTTTTTTTACCTAGACACTTAAACTCACCACATGACCTATTGAGCACTCAATCTTTGTTTAGATTGTGCCAATTAGACACAAGAAGCTGACATGGCACAAAAGGTGAATTTCACCTATTTTGAGTGTGTTTACATTAAAAAAAGAGAGCTAAAATGGTCTTCTTCTTCACATTGAAGCCAACCGCACATTAAATTTGCTCAAGCTCCTTTCATTCACCAAAACAAATACATAATAGAAACCCAACACAAAGTTTTATAGAGAACTTTACGAACACCCAACAATAAAGAAAAACAAATCCATACTCAGCTTTAGGAAGAAGAAAAGAAAAATGCATACCCAGCTTCTAGAAGAAGAATTTTCAGCTCATCGCACTATTTTAATTTTCGTTTTACTTTTATGATTATTGAAGAATTTTTTTGTTATTCTCTTTGGGGCTAGTGAGGTGAGGTCGTTGGTGTATTCCAAAATATAACTCTTACTTTCATTATAATAGATCCAGAAGCTTTTTTCTTAATTAGCTGTTAGATATTCCATAACAGATTCGGTGTTGTTCATCGTGTAAAAAATGAGATTTTGTCCAGAAATCTATAGAACTTGGCCATAACAGAGGAATGAGATCAGCAGGAAGGTCTTAAAAAAGAAAAGAAGTTAGTGTGGGGAAGAAGACCAACAAAGAGAGAGAAAAAAGCTAGTGTAAACTAACAGAAGAAAGCCATAAATTAATGGAGATGGAAGAAGAAAGTGTATGTGTGGAGTATATTGTTTTTCTATTTTAATGCTCAAAAGTTAAAAAGAGCCACATGTTCAATTTTCATTGGCTTGTTACAACATCAGCCGAGAGTGAGCTACACGCATATTATTTTCTCAACTGTTCCAACTTGTCGTGAGTGAGCTACACACATCTTGTTTTCTCAATTGTTCCAAGTTGTCGTGTCTAATTGGCACACTCTAAATAGAGATTGAGTGCTCAATAGGTCACGGGGTAAGTTTAAGTGTGTAGGTGGAAAAAAGGGACAAGTTTAGGGGTTTGTCTATACTTGTTAATCGGGCCCGGTACTGTAGCGTGGGTGTCACGACCCCAAATTCCCTCTGTAGGATGTCGTGATGGAACCTAGTCTCTAAGACTAGGTAAGCCTATCAATGCGGAATAATAATAAATATCTGAAATAAATAAACTACAATTCAAACAATTTCAACTCCCAAAACCCCTGTAAAAATAAGTCACAAGCTTCTAAGAATTTATTCTCAATGTCTCTATATGTCAAGGTCTAAATAAAATATAAGGAAGCAATATAAAATGATAGAAGGGGACTCCGGAGTCTGCAGACGCTGACAGATATACCTCGAAGTCTCCGTGCACAGGTAACTCACTAACGTCTAGGCTGGTAAAATATACCTGGATCTGCATAAAAAGAAGTGCAGAACAGAGTATGAGTACACCACAGCGGTACCCAGTAAGTGCCAAGCCTAACCTCGGTAGAGTAGTGAC